ATATTAATTTACCTCACTGTACTCTGTACTCTCTACTTTCTTATATATTCCTGAATCATTTTCTTGTCTACCTGTAGTAATGTGTCCTGTCATGCCAAAGTCTTTCTACACTCTTGTCCAGCCTTTTAAAGGTGACCCTCACTTTATGTTCCTCAGACCAATATGTTCTGCCTGAATCCCTACTCACATTTCTGAGCGTTTACATGAATAGCTTTTTTTGCTATTGCTTTTTTTTCTGCTTTTTCTTTCCTGAACTGATTTAAGTTAAACCAGTGCAAACCCCTGAATGCACACAATCTTTGCTTTTAAAAAAGTGTCTTATTTCAGTTTAACTTGGGTCGATTAGGAACTGGTTTAAAGGTAAACCTAAATAAGCCACTCAAACTGAAATAAGTGTCAACACAGGGGTTTGCACTGGTTTAACTAAAAAGATTTAAAATCACAGCTGGTGCCATAGGCGACAACTCCGTGGGTGCTCCAGGGCTGGGAAAAATTGGTGGGTGCTCTGCACCCACCGGTAGCTCCTTGCCTCGCCCCCGAGCTCACCTCCACCTCTGCCTCCTCCCCTGAGCACACCGCTTCTTCCCCCTAGCTCCAGTGCTTGCCACCACAAAACAGCTGTTTCGCGGTGGCAAGCACTGGGACGGAGGGGGGAGCAGGGTGAATGCGGCGTACTCGGCGTACTCGGGGAAGAGGCAGGGCCGGGGTGGGGATTTGGAGAAGGAGTCCAATAGGGGCAGGGCAGGTGCGGAGTTGGGGTGGGGACTTTGGGGAAGGTGTTGGAATGGGGGTGGGGCAGGAGTGGAGTTGGTGCAGGGCCGGGGGCGTGAGCACCCACTGTTGCTGGGAAAAGTTGGTGCCTGTGGTTGGTGCAACTTTCTCATGTAGATGAGTCATGAAATAAAGAAGGAAGCGAAGGGAATGAATGAATAAAGAGGTAATAAAAATGGGGGTGGGGGCAAAGAAAAGGGGGTCAGAGTGGGAGAGACTGTGTTCACAGGCCTGAATTCTCCAGTGATGTATGTGCTCTACTGAGCCAGTTTACAACAGCAGAGAATTTGGACCATGAGTTTTATACTTGAGCAGTCATTTGTTCCACACACAGAAGAATAAATTTAAAGTGAATATGAGTAGCCTGACCCCTTTGAGCAGGATGGCTCCCTGCCAACACAGCTCCAGCAAAAGTCTCTGTGTGAGAATGGCCCCCTTGCTTCTGCCCCATCAGAGCTCTGCTGGAATGGTGGTGGTGGTGGTGGTAGTGGGAGGCCAACACTTAGCGAGCCTACAGCTTGAGTGGTATAAGTGACCCTACCGCCTCTCTGATGAGGTAGTGATGGTAGAAACTCCAGCCCCCTAGAACAGAGTCCTTTGCTCAGGTGAATGCAGGCTGAGTCCTCCCTTCTCCTGACTAGAAGCCAGCCTGCCTGAAGACAGAAATTGGTGGTCTAGGCAGGAGAGAGGCCCAAAGAATTCTGTTTCGCACTCTAATGTAAGGGTACCCTGCCACTATCATCCCAAGAAGAACAAGACTGCTGCATGTGGGGGGCATACCTTTCAACCAGCTAAGGTTCAAATTTGGGACACAGTGTGTGATAAAGACCCACAATAAGGAACACAAAAAATTATTCAAACACATCATGGAATTCTTTCATTTAGTGCAAATGACTTTCTGTAACCTCAGCTACATTACTTTTATTTCTAATGTAAATAATTTTGAACAAGAGTAAAGGGACACTGTGTGAAAAGTAGATAACTTGGGACTAAAAATGAGTGACATCCCTTGAAAGGAGGGATATTTGAAAAGCAAGATGTGTAAGGGTGTGTAGAGGCCCTTACTCCAGCCCTGTCGCGCCCCCCGCAATATGCTATAAAAATTCCAGGGCCCTGTTTGGGGGAGAGGCCTCGGAGCTTCAGCCAATGGGCAGGGAGGGACGGGGGAGCTTTGGGGCTTTAGCCCTGTGGGGAGCCCGGGCTTCTGCCCCGTGGGGCTCTGGGCTTCGGTCGCTGGGTGGGGGCGGTTCTTGGGCATAGGCATAGTTTGATTTCTATTTTGGAGGGGCAGGGACCAGTACAGCTCAAACCAGCTCCGCACTGCAAGGCCCAGGGAGGCCACCTCCACCCCGTCACTCACCTCAGCAGGCCACCCAGCCTGTCTGGGTTGTGAGCGGAGGGACACAACCAAAAATTATATCTCAAAGGAGGGGGGGTGGGGAAGGCTCAGCTCAAAAAGTTTTAAAACTGCTCAGGGTGCAGTCAGAGGTAGCTGGGGGCTGTGTGCCAGGAGGAAGCCCCGCTGCTCCCTGAGGGCTCTGTCAGCCCCGGAGCCGGGTCCCCATGCCCAGGCAGCTTTTACCAGCTGTGCAGAATTCAAAGAGGGGTGGGAGCTGAGGAGCAGCCGCAGCCCCGGGCACCAGCAACAGAAGGAGGTGGGGGAGCACCACAGTTGCCCACTGGATGGCACCAGCCAGAGCAGCAGCCACCCCACACTGCCCAGCTCCGGCTTCCTGTCTCTGACCTGGGCAGGGCCTCGGTGGGAGGAGAAGAGGAGGCGGTGCGGGAAGTGTGGAGCTGCCCCCCAGGACTGTCCTGCTCTGGTTAAGACCGATGTTCCTCCAACTCCACCCCTGGGCTCTGGGCTTTTGCCCCATGGGGCACCAGGGCTCACAGTCCCCCCTGAAACCAGCTTGTGCCCCCCCCCAGAGGGCTGCGAGCCCCCAGTTGAGAACTTCTGTTTTAGACAAAAACATCCAATCTTGATTTTAAAATTGCCATGCAGTAATTTATAGACTGTAATCAAGACACCCCTTAACCTTCTTTTTGTTATATTAAATAGATTGAGCTCCTTGAGTCTATCTTCATACGGCATATTTTCTAATCCTTTAATCATTCCTGTGGCTCTTCTCTCAACCCTCTCCAACTGATCAGCATCCTTTTTGAACTGTGGACACCAGAACTGAACACAATATTCCAGCAGCAACTGCACCAGTGCCAAAAACAGAAGTAAAATATTCTCTCTGCTCCTACTCGAGATTACCTGTTTATGCATCCAAGAATCACAATGGCCCTTTTAACCACAACATTGCACTAGGAGCTGACTTTCAGCTGATTATCTATCATGACCCCCAATCTTTTTCAGAGTCCCTGCTTGCCAGGATAGAGTTGCCCATCCTCGAAGTTGGCCTACATTCTTTGTTTATATATATATATATATATATACACACACACACACACACACACTTTTGCATTTAGCAGTATTAAAACACGTATTATTTGCTTGTGCCCAGTTTACCAAGCAATCCAGATCACTCTGTATCAATGACCAGTCTCCTTCACTATTTACCACTTCACTAATTTGTACGTTATCTGCAAACTTTATCGGTGATGATCTTATGTATACTTCCAGGTAAATGCTAAAACCATTAAATAGTGTAGGCAAAGAACCAATCCCTGTGGGACCACACTAAAAACAAACACACTCGATGCTGATTTCTCATTTACAATTACATTGAGGCCTATCAGCTAGCCAATTTTTAATCCATTTAATGTGTACTATGTTTATTTCATATCATTCTATTTTTTTTAATCAAAATGTTATGTGGTACCAAGGAAAACTCCTTACAGAAGTTTAAGTATATTACATCAACACTATTATTTTTATCAATTAAACTCATAATCTCATCAAGAAAATATATCAAGTTAGTTTCCATAAAATCATGTTGATTGGCATCAATTATATTATGTTCCTTTAATTTTTTAATACACCTCTACCTCGATATAACGCTGTCCTCAGGAGCCAAAAAAAATCTTACCGCGTTATAGTGAAACCACGTTATATCGAACTTGCTTTGATCCGCCGGAGTGTGCAACACTCCCCCTCCCTCCCCCCCGGAGCACTGCTTTACCGCGTTATATCAGAATTTGTGTTATATCAGGTCACGTTATATCGGGGTAGAGGTGTAATTGAGTCCCACATCAACCACTCCATTATCTTGCCCGGAATCAATGTGAGGCTGACAGACCCATAATTACCCATGTCATCCCATTTCCCCTTTTTAAATATTGCACAACTTTAGTTTTCCTCCAGTCTTCTGGAACTTCTCCAAAAGTTCCAAGACTTATTGACATCAACATTAACAGTCCAGCAAGCTCCTCAGCCAGCTCTTTTAAAACTCTTGGATAAAAGTTATCTGGACTTGCTGACTTAAAAATGTGTTGACTTGCTGACTTAAAAACTAGTAGTTTTTGTCTAACATCCTCCAGACAGCCCAATGGAATGGAAAAATTATCTTCATATGATGCAACTATATCATCTATTTCTCCCCAAATACAGAACAGAAATATTTATTGAAGGCTTCTTACTTTTCTGCATTATTATTGATAATTCTATCATTTCCAGCTAATATTGGACCAATACCATTGTTAAGATTCATTTTGTTCCTAATATACTTTAAAAAATCCTTATTGTCCTTAACTCTGCAGACCACAGATCTCTCCTTGTGTTTCTTTGCTTCCAGATCTCTCCTTGTGTTTCTTTGCTTCCCTTTTGATTTTTTTACAGTTCCCAGGTTCTGATTTATATTTACTACTATACACTTCCCCTTTCTTCCATTTGTTATATATATATATATATAAAAAAATTTATTGTTGATAGCTGCCTTTACTTTCCCTCTAAACCAGGTTGGTTTAGTCTGGATTGTGGCTTTGGGGGCGTCTAGTAAAGTGTTCTTAAACAAATCCTAATTATCATTCACATTTTTCCGATTAAATTCTTCCTCTCAGCTGATTTGGCTCATAATTATTTTCAACTTTGTGAAATTGGCCCTTTTAAAGCACCAAGTGTATATATTAGTGGTCTAGACTTTATTCTGTTTGCACACTATAAATGTGATCAAGCCACGTTCACTTGTACTTAAGGTACAATTAATTTTTTGTTCTGTGATTGGTTCCTTTTTATCTGTCAACTCAGGTCTACTTTGGAATTCCCCTATGTTGGATGCAACTCTTTTGAGTTAGGAAATTGTCATCTATAATATTTAGAAATTCCAAGGATGTTTTAGTACCGGCAGCAGGAGAGGTCCAGCATATGTCACTCCAATTGAAGTCACTCATGATCATGCAGCTTTTTTTCCTACAAATGATAGATAGATCCATAAAGAGGGGGCCATGCTGTTCCCTAGTGTGATTTGGTGGTCTGTAGTAAACACCAGCTAAACACTTGTGCTTTAGGTGGCTATGCCCTGCTTTGCTACCTGATTATGGGGTATTACATAATACAGTTGAACTGATCCTGAACCTTCTTTGCTTCCCAGAACATTATCAGAGCCTGAATATTGGCCTCCGACCAGCCTGAGTTATTCGTATGATAGCCAACATTAAGGCGTGCCACTACAGTAAGAAAAACTTCACATAAGTGTTTAAAGATACGGTGGAAACAGCACACAAGTGAACTTCAAGGCCTGTGCAGCACTATTTGTAAAGTTAGAGGTGGTTTTAGAAAGCAGACTACTAGTCCATCATAACAGATTCTTGTGCACTGTGGGGCAGCAGTAGAAAAATTATGTGTGTTGTGAAGATTACTACATCAGCAGTCCCCACCCCCACTAGCATTGCACCAGTGGAGACTCTCAGTGTCAGACCGCATAGCTGTTAGTCTTGTTTTGTGAAGGCTAACCCAAAACAGTGGTTGCAAGGTGGGCACCACTAGGAACATTTCTGTGTGTGGATACACAAGAGGGCCATATCTTATGCTCATGATAGAAGCTAATGGTAAGCGGCACTGGTTTGAACTTGAGAATATTTGTTCTTGGGCATAATTGCTCATATATGCTCCACTAAACAATATTTGTTTAAGGTGGATATTACATTGCTAGTGCAATCCAAGGAAACTGACCCTCACCCATCTCCATATGCACATTGCCAATATACTATTTCCATGTCTTTTAAACAAGCATGCAAAATACAATAAGATGTCCAACAGTTTTAGGGTCATTCATTTTTAAACACTTTGAAAAATCATATGCAAAGTTACTACAGGGCAGGAAGCCTGTATATTAGTAAGGAATTGGCAATTAAACTCAACAGCTAACTTTGCTCAGAGAGCAGACTGCTGTCATCTAGTACCACTGTACTGGTACACGGACTGTTTCTAGTCTACCTTACTAAATTAAGATGTAAAGACCAGTTCCATGTACTGCACTAAGGAGCAAAAACAACAGTCTCAAGAAAGAGAACCCAGGGAACTACAGACCAGTCAGCCTCACTTCAGTCCCTGGAAAAATCATAGAGCAAGTCCTCAAGGAAACCATTTTGAAGCACTTGGAGGAGAGGAAGGTGATCAGGAACAGTCAACATGGATTCACCAAGGGCAAGTCATGCCTGACCAATCTGATTGCCTTCTATGATAAGATAACTGGCTCTGTGGGTATGGGGAAACCGGTGGACGTGATATATCCTGACTTTAGCAAAGCTTTTGATATGGTCTCCCACAGTATTCTTGCCAGCAAGTTTAAAAAATATGGATTGGATGAATGGATTATAAAGTGGATAGAAATCTGGCTAGATTATCGCGCTCAACGGGTAGCGATCAACGGTTCGATGTCTAGTTGACAGCCAGTACCAAGCGGAGTGCCCCAGGGGTCGGTCCTGGGGCCAGTTTTGTTCAACATCTTTATTAATGATCTGGACGGTGGGATAGATTGTACCCTCAGCAAGTTCGCAGATGACACTAAGCTGGGGGGAGAGGCAGATACGTTGGAGGGTAGGGATAGGGTCCAGAGCAGGGGTTCCCAAACTTGGTTTGTGGCTTATTCAGGGTAAGCCCCTGGCGGGCCGCAAGACACTTTGTTTACTTCAGCGTCCGCAGGTATGGCCGCTCGCAGCTCCCAGTGGTCGCAGTTTGCCATTCCAGGCCAATGGGAGCTGCAGGAAGCAGTGGCCCGGCCTGTGCCCCTTCCTGCGGCTCCCATTCGCCGGGAACGACGAACCGCGGCCACTGGGAGCTGTGTGGGGCCGTACCTGCGGAAGCTCAGGTAAACAAAGCATCTCGTGTCTCGCCTGGGACTTACCCCGAACAAGCCGCAAACCAAGTTTGGGAACCCCTGGTCCAGAGTGACCTAGACAAATTGGAGGATTGGGCCAAAAGAAATCTGATGAGGTTCAACAAGGACAAGTGCAGAGTCCTGCACTTAGGGCGGAAGAACCCCATGCACCGCTATAGGCTGGGGACCGACTGGTTAAGCAGCAGGTCTGCAGAAAAGGACCTGGGGATTACAGTGGACAAGAAGCTGCATATGAGTCAGCAGTGTGCCCTTGTTGCCAAGAAGGTTAATGGCATATTGGGCTGTATTAGTAGGAGCATTGCCAGCAGACGGAGGGAAGTGATTATTCCCCTCTATTCAGCACTGGTGAGACCACATCTGGAGTATTGTGTCCAGTTCTGGTCCATCCCCCTCCCTCACCCCCCACTACAGAAAGGATGTGGACAACTTGAAGAGAGTCCAGCAGAGGGTAACGAAAGTTATCAGGGGGCTGGGACACATGACTTATGAGGAGAGGCTGGGGGAACTGGGCTTGTTTTGTCTGCAGAAGAGAAGAGTGAGAGGGGATTTGATAGCAGCCTTCAACTACCTGAAGGGGGGTTCCAAAGAGGATGGAGCTAGACTGTTCTCAGAGGTGGCAGGTGGCAGAACAAGGAGCAATAGTCTCCAGTTGCTGTGGGGGAGGTCTAGGTTGGATATTAGGAAACACAATTTCACTAGGAGCTTGGTGAAGCGCTGGAATGGGTTCCCTAGGGAGATGGTGGAATCTCCATCTGTAGAGGTTTTTAAGGCCCAGCTTGACAAAGCTCTGGCTGGGATGATTTAGCTGGTGTTGGTCCTGCTTTGAGCAGGGGGTTGGACTAGATGACCTCCTGCGGTCTCTTCAAACCCTAATCTTCTGATTCTATAAATCTTAATTCCTGATGTGTTGGCTGTACATCTTTTAAACCACAAAATGGCACTTAATGCTCAGTTCAGTCGGTCACCAAGGGCAAATGAGGCGACTAAACAGTCTGCAGGGCCAAGATCCCTGGCAGGCCCAGGAGGACTCACCGAGCTCAGCAGCACTTCTGGGGGATCTCGGGCCGCGTTTGTGCGGGGCGCGGAGTAGGAGTGGCGGGCTGCAGCCAGTGGGAGCCTGCGTGTGCAGAGGGCGGCCGCGCCCAGGAAAAGGGAACCCACCCCATGAGGGCGGCGGGGAAGCAGGCGGCACCTAAGCGCACAGAGCGAGTGCCGGGCAGGGCGCAGTGTACTCACAGCGGGTTCCAGCGCTCGGGCAGGCGGCGGTGTAGGGAGATGCGGTCGCTCAGGTAGATGTTAATCTGGTGATGCCGGATACTCTCCTCCTGGCGGTTCTTCTCGGCCGGGCTCAGCTCCAGCCGCACAGCCTGGCCCAGCTCGCCCAGCGCTCCAGGCTCCAGGGGCGGCTTCTCGTACACGGGTCTCCGCAGGCGCTCGGGGTCCCCGGACAGTGGCGGCTGGGGGGCCCCGCGGGCAGGACGCGCAGCATCGCTCTCCGGGGGGACGCGCCGCCACAGCAGGAAACCCAGTGCCGCCAGCAGCCCCAGGGCCAGCAACGCCCCTGCTCCCCGGGGGGCCCGGCCCCGCCTGCCCCACCACTTGCCGCGGCCGGCCAGCCCCACCATGCCCGCGCTGGGGGCGCTCCTGCCCGCGGGCGGCCTGGGAACTTTGCAAAGTTTCACAAACCTGGGAGCAGCACAACTACCCGAGAGCGGGCGCTAAAGCTCCCCCTCCAGGAAACCCTGCCGGATCTCCGCCAGCGGCTCCTCCCTTCTCCCCGCCCCACTGCCAGCAAAACTTGGAGGGCAGAGGCGGGCGGAGCAGCCTGGGGAAGCGTCAGCCCAGCAAGAGAAACCCGGCCCCCGCTGCCTACATTTAATAGGCTCAGAGTTCGTCCTGAACTCTTTCAAAGGGGAGCTGAGTGTTGCTGCCCTGCTCAGCATGTACCGACTGCTCCAGAGGTCCGACTCCTAGCCATGCTCCCACGGCTGAAGAAGCCTCCTTTTCCCAAATACAAACAAATCACTGCTCGTTGACAGGAAAGCGTCCTCAGAGTGTAAATGTCAGGCAGGAAGGAGCTCAACACCTGAAGCATCTGCCCTTGAAAGAGCTTCACAGTAACAGGAAGAGCTCCTACCAATACTAATCGTCAAAACCCAATTGCACTTGGTGGTGCACAGTTTTATTGCAAGCTTCATGGTATTTGGCGTTTTTCTTAAAAGACCTAGCAGTTGGAGTCATGGGATTAAGAACCTCTCTTTATTTCCAGCACTTCTGATTGCAGAGAAAACCTGGAAAATGTGACCCAAGTGGACACTAAATGTAAGGGGACTGTAGGGCCCCTTACTAAAATTCAGTGTGTGTGTGGTGGGGAGGGGGGAATGGCTAACTCCCAGTACCAAAAGTAAGGGGAAGGGTCAATCGGAAATCAGGACCCTGATACGGACAGTCCTCAGAAACAAGGAGAGAGGCCAATGCTCCAGGTCAGCCTGATTGACAGGGAGGGCAGGCTAATGAGGGAGTCAGGAGGCCCCGTCCTCTGTGTGAGCCAGAATTGCCTGGGTCAGACAGAGTGGGGCTGAGCTAAGGAGAGAGCAGGGACCCAAGCTAAGCTGCTGGGAGCAGAGCTGCAGCAACCAGAACCAGAGGGGCCAGACAAGCAGCCCAGGAAGCAGGTCAGTGCTGGGAGCAGAGTCACAGGAGCAGACCTGCACTGGGAGCAGAGCTGTAGCAACCAGAGCCAGAGGAGCAGCCCAGGGAGCTGGAGGCAGAGCAGTAGCAGCAGCAGCCGTGCTGAGGCAGAGTGGAGCTGGGGCTGGAGCAGTCTGGAGCTGAGTGTAGTGAGCAGTTGGGGAGAGCAAGGGGGACCCTGGGCAGTGGGCCCAGTGCAGGGAGACGCCCCCAGTCACGAGGCCTTGCAGGCCAGACTTAGAGGGTCCCCGTAACCCCAGTGGGGCGGGGGCAACACTAGGAAGAAGGGTCTCGTCACCTAAACCCTGAGAGCGTGTGGCCACCACCAGAGCAAGTATCCGACCTGCAGCATCCTCAGCCAGGGCCTGAGAAATAGGCCTGGGACTTGTGAGAAACAGACTGAACTTCCCTTACATTCCAGAGACGCCGGTTGTGATAACCGCACACAGTGGCACAGGGACATGTGTTTTCCTCTAACCTTTCCCATTTTTTCCTTATTTTTTAAATTGATTGGTGTTTAATAAAATTGTGTTTGCTTTGAACTGTATGTAATGATCAGTGGGTCAGGAAAGCATGCAGTGCAGAGGGAGCACCCCGGAGTGAGGGCAGGGCCTAGGGTGTACTAAGTGACCATGACGAAGTTGGGGGTTGAGACCCCCAGGAATCCTGGGCCCAGCCTTGTTGGGGTTACGAGGACTCTGCCATGCAGGAGAGTGGAAGGGGAACTTTTGAGGTCAGACAGGCCTCTGGGTAAAAGAAGTGCAGCAAGGACTCAGATCCTTTCGCTAGCCCATTTCACCAGGGTAGTGTTCCCCACAATAACGGGACCATTCCCCCGCTTACATAATGGCTCAAAGCAAAGGAAAAAACACATGTCATATAGTGGTTTTTGAATGTTTAGGGTTAGCAATACTCATTCTATGGCACAATAGGGCCAAATTTCCCAAGATTCCCTAAAATTTCACAACAATGCTAATTCATTTGTATCCATGAAAAACCCTTAGGCTATGTCTACACTTAAACCGCTACAATGGCATGACTAACATGTCAGTGTAGCTACTCACTAGTTAATCCACTTCCCTGAGAGGCAGTAGGCCTTTTGTTAACCTAGTGCTGTCTACACCAGGCGTTAGGTCAGTTTTACTACATGCTCAGAGGTGTGCATTTCTCACACCCCTGAGTGACATAGCTGGGCTAACTTAGCTTTTTAGTGTACACCTGACTTTAATTCTCATCCCTTTCACCCCCAGACAACACCAGATGAAAGCATAGACAGTGTAGGCCTGTGCCTAGGATCCCAGCTCCTGAAGTCATGTGATTACATCAGTATCTTAGCTTTCATTTTAAAACATTTTTCTAATTTTCGTAGGTGCAAAGGAAAGCTTGAAAATGTGACTATGATATCTGCCTGTGTCTGTGGACAGCTCTGAGGTGTGAAACACCCCCACGTGCAATAGCAGAGTGTTCATTCCAAGATTCCCTGCTCAGGAGGTGGGGGACCTACCAAGACCACCCCAGCAGAGGACTCTGTAAAAGTAGAGCACTAGAGCAGGGGTTCTCAAACTGGGGAGTCGGGACCCCTCAGGGGGTCACAAGGTTATTACATGGGGAGGTTGCGAGCTGGTAGCCTCCACCCCAAACCCCACTTTGCCTCCAGCATTTATGATGGTGTTAAATATATTTAAAAGTGTTTTTAATTTATAAGGGGGGTCGCACGCAGAGGCTTGCTATGTGAAAGGGGTCACCAGTACAAAAGTTGGAGAACCACTGCACTAGAGGCTTTGCCCATCCACTCAGACATACCCTGACTACTGGGTGTGCTCTCCCCCTCCCCCCCCATCCAGCTTTCTCCTTCTGGATGACCATCTTGGCCAGGAGAAGGTTGACAAGGAGGTCCTGTGACTTTGTGGGGCCATGAAAGGGGTGTGTATAAATGAGGAAGTGCAGGGAGAAGTGCAGCCAGAAACTCAGTAAGAAGTTTAGGAGAAGCTGGAAAAGGGGCTGCAACTTGATGCACTCTACATAGACGTGTGTCAGAGTCTCCCACTCACTGCAGAAAGAACAGGTGTCAGGTAGGGTGACCAGCCAGCAAGTGTGAAAAATCGGGACGGGGGTGGGGGGTAATAGGAGCCTATATAAGAAAAAGATCCAAAAATTGGGATTGTCCCTATAAAATCGGGATATCTGGTCACCCTAGTGTCAGGGGACTTTGTGACCTGTGCCAGGTACACTCCTGTGCTTACAGCTCCATGGAGGAGCTGCCAACTAATATCCCAATAGGCTCTGGAACACCAGAGTGGAGTACAGACTGGCCCACCAGGATTCCCCACCCTCCTCAGTTGGGGCAGGACATAAAGGTCTGGAAGTGGATGGTATGAAGTACCAGCTTGTACAGAGGTTTTCTGGGCACGGCTCAGAGACAGACTGGCTGGATGTCATTCAGCTGGCTCAGGTGGGATGTAGGGGGAGGCTTGCAGGACGGGGCTCAATGACGAGTTCTAGGGGGCCAAGGTTAAGGGGTGGGCAGGGAGCACCCTCCCAGATGACCTGATGGAGAAAATTGAGATAAATGGGACGCAAGGCTGCCCTCACCTTCCAGAGCACATGACGGGGAACACACAATGTGGGCAGTCCCATACACTGGCTGAGCACCATGGGGTCCACTTAGTCTCTATGAACGTAGTCCAGGAGGTCTTGAGTTGCGTTGACACCAGCCAGGATCATCCTCTGGTGCACCAAAGTGGACTCCGTCACCTGCACACAAAGGTAAGGGTTGTGTGGCAGGGCTTCTGTGAGAAGATTGTCCCCCTCAGTGGCTATGGACTTGGTTACTGAAACTAGCTTCCAGGTCCTAAGGACGTCCTGGTGAAAGTCTGGCAGCTCAGAGAAGTCTTGGGGGTGACCTCTTGGGTGATGATAAAAGAGCCGCCAGTCATATTGGAGGCATCAGAGGGAGAAGCACACCAGTATGCTCCATGCCAGACTACGTGCAATGTAAAGGAGCCTCTGCAGGGCCTAAAGGCGGAAGGTGTGGACCTGGCTGCAGATGCATACCAAGTGATATGTCTTCACCTCCCCGCCACTTTTTCTCCAAGCTGTAGAAGAAACAGGACCCACAATCAATCTTCCAAAGGAGCTAGATGCAGGATCAAACAAAAAGCAGCCCTGGTGCAATGGCCGTCAAGTGCCTGGAGTTCTTCCTGCTTCTCCTGACACTCTCTGCAGAGAGATGGATCCCTGGGGCGAGCGGACAGGTGCTTCTCCAGCTCCAAAACCTCTCACCCATAGGCTCTGGCTGAGTGGGTCAGATGAAATGGTGACATAAAATTGTGTATCAGCAGTTTAGAGAAAATACTGCAGCCCATATCTTTTTAGTAACCCTCCCAACAGCCCCCTTTTGTAAAAGAGAGGTAATAAAACAAAACCCTATGCAACTTAGCAAGCAAGCTCCATCACACAGCAGGAACAGTTTCACACCATTACCTTTTGAGAATGCTCCACAAGGAAGAAATGGAGCTACTCTAAGAAAGACACATCCACCCCTCTGTGATTCACAGTTGAGTCAACATCTCATAATCAAAAGTCAATTGATAGATAGATTCAGTATCAGCATGGACACCTGATCATCATCCATTGTCAGAAATAGAATATCTGCCAGTGCAACCAACGGGGTCTCTGTTCTGTACCCAAGTCAGTACCCCATTTTACAAAGGCCTAGATTTGATACTAGATACTGTGAGAGTTGTCTTGCCACAACAGTTTCAATAATCATAATCAAAAATGGAAGATGGGACATTGTGATAATTGGCTAGAATGTCAATGTGAAATGAAGATTTCTTGAGCAAGCCATACACATGCCTCTTTAAGTGAAGCAGACTATCTGCTCTCCTGCAAGGAGGCATTAACAATCACCACTAACAGTGGGTCCAGCACTCCCCCACAGGCCAGCCAGGAATGATATGGATTCCAAGCACAAGTTATCGTATAAAGTCCTCCCAACTCCTTCAGAGAGAGACACTGGCCATAACTCAAGCAGAGAAGATTGGTATGTGTCCCCTTGAGAATTTGCCCTGCTCCCATGGAGGCATATAGC